GGAGTCCCAGCAACCGCTGCAAACCTGGGAGAGAAAGCTGCACTCGCTCTCACCGAAGCCAGACAGTCCCGCTTCTCCCGTTTGAGTCTGTGCCCCTAAAGACTCGCCCGGATCTGGAGCTCAGAGTCTGCGACTCCCTCCCGATTGAAAACGCCAACCGCGCCCTCCGCCGCCGCCCGCTCCGTGCACTCCGCACCTCAGAATTTGACTTCAGCACTGCGCCTCCTCTGAGTGTCCGTATGCGTTACTCTTTCCTCCTAGTTGTAGGACTTCCACTCAGCCAGCGTTCCTGTGGTTCTGGGTGATGTCCGTTCCGTCTTTTAGTTTCACTTTTGAAGTGGTTGTTCGAGGCAGCAAACTCCGGCGTTAACCTATGCCGCCATCTTGGTTCTCCGAGGAACTGTCAAGAGTGAATATTCTTATCTTGTTCCTGATCTTAGAGAAAAGCTTTCAGTTTCTCACCATTGAATATGTTGGTTAGCTGTGGCTTTTCAAATATGGCCTTATTATGTGGAGGTAAATTATTTCTATACTTATTTTGGTGAGTGTTTTTATCATGAAAGGATGTTGAATTTTGAGAAGTCCATTTTCTGCATCTATTAAGACAATTATGTAATGTTTATGCTTTATTCTGTTAATGTGGTATAATATATTAATTGATTTCATAGGTTGAATTATCTTTGCATTTCAGGGATAAGTTCCATTTGGTCACGTTGTGGGTACTTTTTGATATGCTATTAAATTCAATTTGCTAGTATTATGTAGAGGATTTTTGTATCTATATTCATCAAGAATGTTGGCCTGTAGTTTTCTTTTCTGGAGTGTCTTTTTTTTTTTTTTTTTTTTGGTTTTGGTACCTGGGTGATGATGGCCTCATAAACAGTGTTTGTAAATATTTCCCCCTTTTCAGTTTCTTGGGAGTGTTTGAGAAGTAAAAAGTAAAAGGATGGGAAAAAATACTCCATGCAAATAGTAACCAAAAGAGAGCAAAGGTGTTCATACTTATATCAGATAAAACAGGCTTTGAGGCAAAACTGTCGAAAGAGACAAAGAAGGACATTATATAATGATAAGAAGGTCAATTCACCGGCAAGAAATAAAAGATATAATAACTCTAAAGATATATACATAGTTGAATTTTGGTGGTTTTAAAAACACATTTAACCAGTCTGTGTCTTTTTATTGGTGAGTTTAATTCATTTACATCTGAACTAATTACTGATGGGAAAGATTTCATATTGCTCTTTTGTTGTTTGCTGTCATATAGCCTTTTTGTTGTTCTTTTCTCTCTTGTGGTCTTCCTGTGTTTCATTTATTATTTTTGTAGTGACATACTTTGATTTGTTTTTCACTTTCATTTGTATAGGTTTTTTTCTTTGTGGTTACCATGGGGGTTACATTAAACATTATACTGTTATAAAAATCTATTTTAAGCTGATAATATCTGAACTTCAGTCACATACAAATACTCTACATTGTTGCATCTCCCTGCCCCTCTCACACTTTGTTATTGATGCCCTGACTGGGAATCAAACCATGACTTCCTGGTTCATAGGTTGACGCTCAACCACTGAGCCACACTGGCTCGGCTGTAAGGGTAATTTGTTTTCCTTGTAGGTGAGCAAATTGGGGAGAAGGTTATTCCTCCAAAAAATTATTTAAATACATTTTCCCTAAAGAGATGTGCCTAGGCGAACATGAAAACATGGCTATATTGTGGCTGTTAATTTATATCCTTGATTTCACAAACTGTCACTCTGCTTTCTATAAACTCTGGGGAATTAGATTACAGTGCAAAGGATTTTATTATTGAAAATTATGGATGCAATGTGTGCTTTATTCCCTTTGCTCACATGCAATTATGGAGTTACAGAGCACTTTTGCATACATCACCACATTTGATTTTCAGACAATATGTAATCACCTGTGGAGATAATTACATATTCTCACTTCACAGATTAGAATCCAAGGTTCATGAGAGGTTATGAGAGAGGCTAAGGTCTAAATCTAAAGTTCTTGTATTGAGTCTGAGCTCTTTGCCCAGCATCTTATAACTTTTCATTTGTAAAGCAAATCGAAGGTGCATTTGCAATCTGAATATTCTTATGATGTAATGTTAAACACGTTTTCTATTCAGCTGAACTTTTTTCTTTTGCGGTTTTAAATCAAATGCAATTGAAGTGATTGTTTTGTGTATCCTCCTCCTAAATACTGCCTCATAATGATGGGAACATTTCAATTTTTTGCATTGGTTTATGATTTACAACTGTGTAATAGAGTATCCTACTTCTCATGTTTTCATATGGAGGGATTAGCTAGACCAGCTCTTTTGGTCTCTCTTCCTGCTTTCTTTCACTTCTTATCCCTAAATGACCAAAAAGGTTTTCAGATTAGTGAGTTTGATAGAAGTCATTGGTAGACCACAAGTGATCGGAGTGGGCAGAGCCTGCCCCTGAGGTGGGGTAGGAATAAATCAGCCTTACGTTGCCGGGAGGGTGTGCCTCATGAAATGCACTGAATCACACATTTAACCAACATCTTCTTTTTGCCTGATTTACCTATCTCCTCATGAGTTAGCTCCAAACTATCCAGAGCAAGAAGGATGTGATTGGGTCCCTTCAAAATTTTCATCTTAAGGCCTGAGAGGAAAAAAATACCTTTCTTCCCAGGGAAACACCCATCTGATTTTATTTATGTTAATCCTTTATTTCCAATATTCTGTGGTATAAGATATGACTGTACATATTGGGCTAATGAAATTCATCTCATTACTTTTTATGGTGTTATAAATATAATGCCTTCCCCTGTCCCTAATGTTATGTAAGAGAGTGATTACTTTAAGGTATGTTTAGTGAAGTTTATTCTTGTTTTGTTCTGTTAGCTGCTCTATAAAATATAAGCAGTCATGCTCAATGTGTATGTTATATGAGGGCCTTGGAAGAATCTGAAAATATTACAACATTTCTACAGCATAACAGTTTAATAGCATTTCAACCATATAAAAATTTCCACCTCATTTGAGACACTAGTTTCCCAGAGAAGTGAAAGGCATATCATATTTTATAGCTTACATAGATGACTGTATAATGCAAACTGTAATTCTTCTTGTTAAGGAAATAGTTTTTACTTATTTATAAATGATTATTATAATATATAATGTCATTAATCATAGAAGAGATAATAGGCCCATTTTTAGGACTTTCGTGAACAGAAGACCCACAATTAAGTTTTTTCCAGAGTGACAGAACCAGTGATATTTAAACTGTAGAATTATAAACTGCTAGAACTGGAAAGGATATGAAGAACAACACTTTCTTTTTTACCCCTCAAATGCTAGGAATGCAAGAAAGGAATCTTAGGATTCATTTAGATCCAAGAAATTTCAGAGTTATCCAAGGTCATGTGACTAATTAATAGTAAATCCTGGATGAGAATCATGAATCCTGTTTCAGTGTCCTCCTGCCTCTCCAAGTATTAGGTTGCTCCATATTCAAAATACCTAGTAACTTATAAACTTCAGCATAGTGTTTAAAATAATCCATTAACAAATGTTTCTCTTGCATTTCTGTTTTATGTGTATCCCCTTTTAATGGGAGAAAAGACAGTTGAGACTTCACTCTCGAATGCCAAAAAAATTCCCATGTTTTCTCAGAAAATACACTTACATACATTAATATATATTTGCATGCATATATAGATTTTATAATTCTTATATTCTCTAGTATCCCTCTATTGATTTTCTTTTATTATTGAAGTATTCCATGCTTAATCAACATTTACTGCTTTTGCTTTTGATTTATAGAATCTGTCTGTCCAACACGAATTCCCGTGGCAGCTCGAGATGAGAAGGGATTTGATATTCTTTTAGGCTTGGGTGTAAAGAAAAAGGTTAAGAAAAGAATCCAGCTTTCACCAACAAAGATAAAAGGATATGAAGTAACATCAAAAGTTGATTTATCAGAATTCACAAGGTAAATGTTATGTGTTGATATATATTTTTTGATATGTCTATAGCTTTTTTGAGAATTCTTTAAGCTTATTCATGTTCTTCTTTTTCTAGCAATGTTTTTCCAGAAGGTCTTCCTCCATCATATGTATTTGTCTCCACTCAGAGATTTAAGGTCAAGAAAATATGGGATTTATGGAGAATTTTAACCATTGATGGAAGGCCACAAATAGCAGTTACCTTAAATGGTGTGGATAAAACATTACTATTTACAACGACCAGTGTGGTTAATGGCTCACAAGTGGTCACCTTTGCTGACCCTCGAGTTAAGGTAATGATGCCTGGATACGATTATGCTATTCATGAGGAAACACTGTTAGGTTTATGTGTATTGGGGGAAGAGAGCTATAATTTTAACATGACTGGAAAGATATCAGCTTCAGATTTCAATGTTGCTTTATTGTAAGAAAAAACAAAGGAAGGAAAATTCTTTTTTTAATATATTTTTATTGATTTCAGAAAGGAAGGGAAAAATAGAAACAGCAATAATGAGAGAGAATAATTGATTGGCTGCCCCTTGCATGCCCCACATTGCGGATTGAGCCCACAACTTGGATATGTACCCTGACCAATAATTGAACCGTGACCTCCTGGTTCATAGGTGGATGCTCAACCACTGAGCCATGCCATCCGGGCAGGAAAATTCTTTCTTAATCCATGTGGAATTTAGGGGTGGGAGGAACTAACATTTTTGAATTTCTGCTACTAAGTGCCAGGGACATTGAATTGTAATAACCACCTAAAGAAGAACCTGTTGTTCCCATTTTACAGACAAGGAACCAAGGTTCAGAGATTTTAAGTTCCTACTCCAAGTAACAGAGCTAGTTAAGTGGTGACAATAGAAACTGAATTTAGGTCTGGTCATTTTCAAAGCATATGTTGGTCTGTTTTACATGGTCATGTCCCATAGGATATTGAAATAAAGACATTTGTTAGAACATTAAATACAGGCAGAAAATGGATGCAGAATTCACATTAATTGTAAGGACATTTATTCCCCATAAAGGGATATATTTAGTAAAATAAATATACTAAAAATAAAAATGTATTTTCTAAGTCATATGTTCAGAATACAGATATGATGATAAAAGCAATCAAGTTTTGATATCTACACTAATAAATGAGAAAAATGGTAATTGGCGTACAATGCTACCCTTTTCATTGGCTAATCAGGGCTATATGCAAATTAACTGCCAACTAAGATTGGCAGTTAACTGCCAACAAGATGGCGGTTAATTTGCATATGTAGGCACAATGCAGGAAGGCGAAAGAGAAAGCAGGAAGAAACCCCCTGCCACTGACAGTGATCGGAAACCCAGGGGGAGCTAAGAGCTGGGGGGCAGGGGGTTTCCCTGGGGCCGCCTTTGCCTTGCCCCCCAGCCTTGATCAGAAACCCAGGGGGAGCTAAGAGCTGGGTTGCCCCCCAGCCTTGATCAGAGAATCAGGCGCCTTTTCCGCCCTGGCCAGTGATAGCAGGAAGTAGGGGTGGAGCCAGCGATGGGAGCTGGGCAAGGTCGAAGCTGGCAGTCCCAGGAGCTAGGGGGTCTTTTGCCTGGCCCTAAAGCGAATCCCACGATCGCGGGGCCGCTTCAGCTGCAGGTCCCCGCTGCCCGGGCCAGACGCCTAGGCCAGAGGCGTTAGGCCTGGGCAGGGGCTGAGCCTGCAACCGCAGGGAGCTGGGGGTCCCCTGCCCAGGCCTGACACCTCTGCCGGAGGCCTCAGGCCTGGTCAAGGGGCTGATCCGGTGATTGGTGACCGGAGGGTGATGAGGGTCAACTCCTCTGGCCGAGGCATCAGGCCTGGGTGGGGGGCGGAGCCGGG